GCTCATCTGTATCAATTTCAAACAGCTATTTTAAATTCCCCTTGTGGTACAATTCCTCATCTCTACTTGTGACTTAAACATACATAGGGACAAACAATGCTAAATTATTTTTAAAATATTAAAATACCAAAGATATAGCAAGAATTTATTAGATTTAGAATGAGCTGCCTCTGCAATGGTTACAAACCTTTGTCAGTGGTGGTCTTCTTTCTTGTTTAAGTATTACATTTCTGTACCATACACTATTACATATGAATAGTATTCAGCATCAAGCTGGATACCCACTCAGAAAATCAGGACTTCCTGAAGTTACAATGTTCATGTATTTAAAGAATGAAAGTCTTAGGAGGACTTGAGTGTTAGATTAGGATCCCAGGCTCTTTCACATGGGTGTTCCATCAAATGGACCATTTCTATACTATTTTAGTAGATAAAAGTTTGTCCTAATGATAAAAAAGTATACACCAGAAATCTAGATTAGAGCAGACACCTGAGAATCAGAAGGGTTTCATTCAGAGTTTCTCAAAAGAACCTAAATATTCCAGTATTTTCTGTATTTCAGAGCTAAGTTATAATTCCAGAAGGAGACACATACTGTTAGATAAATGTTTATAAGACCACCTCTAACTCATTTTTACATGACAGAATCACAGAGAGGTAAGCATGGGCATCTCAAAAATTCAGAGACGTTATAACTACACTTGATTCTCTTCACGTAAGATACAAGCTTTTGCCCTGAGTGAAAGATGAACAGAGATGCTCAGAAACCTGTTGCTTTTACTGTCTTCAGCTGGAGATGCGTCTGTTCAGCACTACAGAAAAACCAGTTTCGAAACGGTCACTTGCTTCGCATCACCAGCAGATGGCACATGGATAAACTCTATGGACAGAACTAGCGTATCCTTCACAACGCATCTGTACCAGGCTGGGAGCGAAGGGGGAGTCAGAAAAACCGTTAGAAAGGGTCAGGAGAAAGAAATTAAAATATTTTCGTCTACTCCATTTCGATTACGGGCACATGGACAGCACAGAAATCAGCCCCAATCCACGCAGGACTCCCCAGTTTGCAGAAGTCCCAAAGGCCCTGGAAATGCACCACCATTTGTCAAGGAGTCACGGTCTCTGGCCAGGTGTGTGTGTCTCCTGCGCTGTGTTCCCAAACCTCAGCTCCTCCTGCATGCCACAACGTCTGTGCCACGGGGGAAAACTTTCAAGTCCCTGATCCAGCTGGCTGGATTTGCAACTCAACTCCTGCTAACTGCAGAACACCACTGCTCAGTGCTCCCACAGGTACCTCTGAAGTCCCCTAGGAATTCCCTACGCCTTTCCAATATTGACCCATCTCCTCGGAACTGGAGAACCTTGAATAAAAGTATTCCTGGTGGCTCGGATTTTAGATACGCTAAATATCAGGGCTGCAGCCCTGCTAGTCCTGCTAGTACCTGGACCTGCTGAAAGCTTTCATGCCATTAACAAATGACATTTTCTGGCCATTTAGAGTATTTCCTTGCAAGGCAAAATTTTCGCTGAACAGCTTTTTTTTTTTTTTTTTTTTTTTTTTTTTTTTTTTTTTTTTTGGAATATCTACTTGGATTCTGTGGGATCTATCCTGGAAAACTGTACATTTTCTAATAGTTTCAGTTAAAGAAGCTTAATTATAAAAGTCTTTAAATTAAAAATTTGCATAAACAGAAGAACTTCAGGTGAAGGTTTCCTATGGTCCTCCCTGGTATCCCACGGTGCTTGCTCCTACACTCTGACTCTCATGTCAAATAAATGGACTGAGATATTTTTGTAACCTGTTCATCAACGAGGGCATTTGAGGCTCTCTCTCTGTGAACCACCTGTTTTCACAAAACATACAGTAAATTTATCACAGAAAAAGGGTAAAAGACACTAATTTGGATGAAATAATGCTTAGCACTATTGAAAACAGAAAAGGCAAAGAATAATAAGTAAACCTGTGTGTTCTCAGGATCCCAGGCTGTTTCATATAGATGTTCCATCAAATAGATTGTTTCTATGTTGAATTCAACTTATAATACCCTCCTTATATCTTCAGTCTGAAGATATAAGACTGAAGACATTTTTTATTGTGTCAAATATTTACAATGAAGATGTACATTGCCAATGTCAGAGGAGAAACTGGAGGATTTGGTATGTGGAGGATATCTGACATATTTTACTGTTTCTATGAAACAACTGCAGTGAGGTATAAAGTGTTAATGTTCAAATGTTTCACAACTATAACTTCAGGTTCTCTACTGACTTGAAGAGGTATTTGTTTAGATCCAGTCTGTGTTTTCAAAGTTATTGGCACAACAACAGAAACTAAACTTAAATTGAAGGCATAGATACGTGAAGAGAATTTTAAAGGAGAAGGTGGGATTTTCAGCAAATTACATAGTAACTAAATATAAACTCAACAAAAGGACGATAACTACAAAGCATAGTAATTAGACCCTGGCTGTCCCAGAGGAATACGCTCATCACTCTGCCAAGCCACCAACCCTTTTGTGCACTGTTTTTTTGGTGGCTCCAGGACCCTTGCATTCCCAGCTGCACAGTGGCTTCCTCTCAGCTGGAAATGTAGGAAGCACCTCTGTCTCTAACGGACTAGAATTGCACCATTTGCATGAGATGTGGGAATTTGATCTCCCCGAGGCGGATAAGGACACTCAACCCAAGTTGACAAATGTTTTGCAAACATTCTAGCTGCTACACTAACTTATAAAGGTTTGGTGGTTTTGCCTCTTCCACCCTCCACTGCCAGCTCCTTTTCTTCTCTTCTTCCCCAAACCTCAATGCTCTAAACCAAAAACAGTCAGTGAGACACCTCTGTCCAAGCTGGTAGTTCAGGCAATTACCTGCAGAAGGGTGTTTGAGTTGTGAATTTAGTGCAAGCCAAGGATGCTTTATCAGTACCACCCTTGTTTTACTGACTAGTTTAGTGATCTTTTCAGTGAGCTTCTGGCTATGAATTCACTCTGTACACACTAACAGAATGCTACAGCGCTAATGCTGTACACATGCTGAGGAGGGAACAGAAGTGGTTTAAATAATGTCTGTGAAATCCTAAATAACTTAGGAGTAGTGATGGTAACTCCTTCAAGCATCTAATCTAACACACCTGAAAAGATCATATTTAAAGGAATTAAATTAGGACCTGAAGTAGAGGTTCCTCTCTTTTTGGTACTATGAGAATTTTTAAATCAAAGTATCCATTAACTCTTTATGCTACAGAAATTGTTGTGCATATGAACACAACACAGAAATAGATGGAGTAAACACTGCTATCTCAAAGTACATTAAGAGATTAACCTGGTTATGAAAATCCACACTGGATTTAAACAATTTATTTAAATAAGACACTAATTTTTATATTTTTAACTATTTTTCTTTTATAGTAGCATGATGATATACCTCAAAAAAAAAAAAGAATAATAGGATGCTCTACTAGTAGTACTACTAATGAAGCCTGCTTTTCTACTGATGGGGCTTGTATCTTCTTACCATACCCCCTAAACTCCTTTCCCCAGTTTGCTGCCTTTTCCTTACCTGCCATCATTCCCCCCTCACTCTGACATCCCCTACTCACTCAGCTGTGTCTGATGAAGTGCTATAGATATTATAATTGGTCATCTAGTCTAAACTTCTCTGCTTGCTTACCTTTGTCTGATTAGTTCTTATTTTCTAGCTGCATATCTGGGAATGAACACAGAACAGAATGACTTTCTAAAAAAGTATGTTAATTTGCTGGGTTTTCTACCCACCCACTGACATGTGTACCATTAAGACTCCAACTTCTTACAAATGGGTGAAGGTGGCCATGAGATTCAGAACTGGAAGAGGAAAAGGCCAGCAGAGAGCAGTGACCCACCCACAGACTCCTTCTTTAGGAGAACAGGTTAAAACATGGCAAGTCTCCACTGCCTTTCTGCAGAACCTATGCAATCACAAGAGACCCTCACACATGGCTTTAGATGTAGCTGGTTACTGAATGCAGATAGTTACAGTGGGGCAAAACTGAGCACTTCACAATCCCATTTGTATTTTTTTTCCTGATCATGCAAGCAAAACAGAAGCCTCTTGGACCCA